AAAAAAAAAAAATCAAAAAAAAAAAAAAAAAAAAAAATCGCATTAAATAAATAAACCAATTAAAAAAAAAAAACAACTAGCTTGTAGGGATAGTTTACAGTTTAACCCAAAGAATGACCAGTAGATGAAGAGCCGGAGTCAGAGATTTATATAAATAAATCAAGTTTACTGAAGATAGTTTGCAGTTTCAGTCGCAGAAGCCAGCTTCAACACTCGCAATGAGTTCCTAGGCCGCTCTGCTTACAATCACCAATCAATAACAATTATACTCTCACATCACGTCATTAACTGCGTCATACATATAGGTGTTCTAACCTGATTGGTTTAAAAAACAGATAGACTAGGAACATTTCCACGTAAGGTTCGTGCGTACAATTCTGAACAATATCTAAACATAAACGTCAGACATCCTTTAGACTGATTAGAGCTGACTCCAGACCTGTGAAATGGATCAACAATCAAATAAAACACACACACAAAGTATAATCTGTTTCTCATCCAAGGCTGAGTGTACCGTCAGCCGTCTTTATCAAAACTGGTTAAAAACTGGTATAATCTACATTCAGGCAGTTATAATTCCTTACTACACAAAGTCTCTTGAATAAAAAAAGTAGAATCACTTTAAAAGAATTAACTGTAAAAAATAGCAAAATCACTTTAGACAATATTAACTCGTAGAAATGACAATAGAAACAGCTGCTTCCAGTCCTCAGCCCTCAGTTCCTCTCAAGGTCTCCGTGACCTCTGACCTAGATTGGTGGCTTCTGAAAATAGTTATAAAGAGACAGGCAAATGCACTGAACATTCTTATATTAAGCAATGTGTTAACTTATCAATTCACAGTTAAATACTGAGAAACAGGATGATGAAAAGGATAAACGTTGGTCCATGAGATGGATTGGAAAGCAGAAATTTGAATCCTTCAAGCTATAACAATTCAGCAATGTACGATACATAAATCAAACCGTTTTAAAGCCATATACAACTTTCATTTTACAAAAGCCTATCTGAAAAAAAAAAAAAGTTTTAGATAATTTCTAAAAAAACGATAAACACCGGAGAGGGTTTGAAATATCATTTATAAAGTATTTATAGGCTATATTTTATTAGCTCTTGTGCTGAAATGCTGAACACTTTCTTTAAGATCACAGCATAATATGCAACATTCTTAAATAAAGGGGAATCACCCATTAAGCGTCATGTAGCCTATAGGGGAAATGTGCTGTCAGGTCTCTTTATCTGCTGATTCCCGCTGAACTGGGCGGGTGTTGTGACGTTTGATTCGGGGGACGTTCTGGGGGCGGGGTTTGCATGACGCGCTGAGAGCCACTAGCCCGACAGTGGAAACATGACATGATTTCGACCTCACCACTCAACCACCCGTGCGACTGGCCCGGCCTGATAAAAGTCCTGGTTCGCATTGGCCCAACAGTGGAAATCCGGCTACTGAAAATTAATCATGTTTAAAATTCAGCTTTACTTCCATTTACAAGCAATGTACATTTCAACTTTTTCTCTTCCATTTATATGACAAGATGTACTTCTCTGATGAAGAGATGGACCTTTCCCTGGAGGAAACAGTTGAAGTCAAACTCAAGACATTGGAAACCTTTGCCGTCGAGGAGATCTCGGAGCTACAACAGGACACCAGGGTCCTCCAGGAAGCAGCAGGGAAAGCAATGGAGGGAGACATGGCTGTCTTAAAGGCAGAGGTGAACTCGCTTTAAACACTTGTTGCGAACCAAGTGCAACAGCTGGAGGAACTGAATCTGTGAAGGAACAGTGGGGCTGAAGTCTTAGACAAAACAAACACCTCATATTTCTTCCAGACCCAAGTAACCTGGAGAGAGTGACGCATCCCTATTGAAGGAGGCAGGAGTTAGATGGGCGGTGTGGACAGGACTGTGCCAGACAGCTACTTGAGGTAGAAAAAGAAGACTTGCATCAAAGAAAGGCACAGCAGGATTTATCAAAACAGAACAGAGACTGCAGAAGTTGGTGAAAAAAAATGTTTAGATTTGTTTTTTGTTTTTTTTATTAGTTTTATTGTATTTTGTTTGATTGGGGGGAGGGGGGTTGTTCCATTTACATCAAAGAAAGGCACACCAGAATTTTGGAAAACAGAACGCATGAGACTGCAGAAATTGGTGAAAAAAATTTATTTATTTTTTTAATTAGTTTAATTGTATTATGTGTGATTGGGGGGGGTTGTGTGGGGGTGTTCTTGGGGGTTCCATTTTTTTATTTTTTAAGTAGTTTTTAAATAGTTATTTTATTTTTTAAGTAGTTTTTAAATAGTTATTGTATTTTATTTTTTAAGTAGTTTTTAAATAGTTATTTTATTTTTTAAGTAGTTTTTAAATAGTTATTGTATTTTATTTTTTAAATAGTTATTGTATTTTGTGTGATTGGGGTGGGGGTGTTCTTGGGTGTTAATTTTTTTATTTTTTACATTTTAAATAGTTGAAAAGAGCATTACAATTCAATTTAACTCAAACATTTATAATTGCACACCAGAATTTTGCAAAACAGAACGCATGAGACTGCAGAAATAGGTGAAAAAAAAATCTTTTTTTTAAATAGTTTAATTGTATTATGTGTGATTGGGGGGGGTTGTGTGGGGGTGTTCTTGGGGGTTCCATTTTTTTATTTTTTTAAATAGTTTTTAAATAGTTATTGTATTATCTTTTAAATAGTTATTGTATTTTATTTTTTAAATAGTTTTTAAATAGTTATTGTATTATTTAAATAGTTTTTAAGTAGTTATTGTATTTTGTGTGATTGGGGTGGAGGGTGTTCTTAGGGGTTCCATTTTTTTTTTTATTTTTTACATTTAAATAGTTGAAAAGAGCATTACGATTCAACTCAAACATTTATAATTGCACACCAGAATTTAGCAAAACAGAGAACGTACGAGACTGCAGAAGTTGGTGAAAATGTTTGAATGTTTTTTTTTTATTAGTTATTGTATTTGGTGTGATGGGGTGATGATTTGTGTTGCAAGTTCTAGGGGGTTCTAAGTTTTCTTTTACACATGTAAATAGTTAATTTAAAAAAAAGCTGAAGAGCAGTAAAAATTTAACTTAATAAACATTTATAATTGCTTTAAATATTTTGTTTGTTCTTTTGTTAAATGGTCTCTCTCTCTCTCTCCATGTATACTGGCAACACTGGGAACATAATCTTTCCACTCCAGTTAGCAGAGCAGTCACTAACTGGGAACTGCTTGCTGTCAATGTCTGTACTGTAGTGTCAATACTCACAGCATAGTACTGCAAACACAATAATAGTGTATATATAATAGATCTTGTAGTGTTAATTTATCAGGCTTTTTCTATTAATGTTTCCGTGCACTGCCAAGACTGGAATAGAGTATTTATTTATTTATTAGTTATTATTATTTATAATTTTTTTAAATCTGTATAAACTTTGTTTCCAGAGTGGCGCAGTGTGCGGTTTATAGGGACCGACACACTTTGGTTTAGATTCAGGCAGAGAGCCTGTGCAAGTGTGTTGATGTCTAAATCATGGCCCAACCTTTTTTATTTATTTTTTTTTTAAAGAGATCTACTTGGATACAGATTCATTTGAAGGGCTTCTCAAATAACCAATATGTTCAATTTACCATTTAATCATGTCATTGTTAATAATTAATGATGTTCATGCATGTGAAGACACTGATCGTGTTAATGATTTCCGACAACAGCTGTGAATGAGGATTTAACAAGGTAGGAAACAGAAACATTTCAATTTGAGACACTTCATTTGTCTTAAATAGTTTTTAAATTTCATTTATTTATTTAATATACAGCACATCTTAATGTGGTTAAGATTTACATCAAGACAAGTGTGATCTGATAATAGCTACAAAACATATTAGCTGGTGCTAAGGTGAGCTAGTTTTAGAAGAGGCGACTCGTCCACGTTGGTGACTCCTGGTCAAAATGATCGTTTTCTGCCCGAGGAGAAAAATGCACTACTCTATAAATGGCAACTTTGGATTGTAATAAATGTGCTAAATGCCAATGTCACTTATTGAAATACGCCTCTAAAGTGGTTTATTGCTTAAACTTCCTTGCTGGTGTTACTATATTCGTGAAGGTATGCGATCGTAGCTTTTGAATCAGTGAGCAATCAAACTACTAACACGAGTGAATCAATGAACTGTTTGAACTGAATCGGAGCAATTAAACTACTAGAACAATGAATCATTTCCTAATAAACTGGATCTGTGATCACTGAGTGAATCACTGAACTGTTTGAAGTGAATCTGTGTGCAATTGAACTAGAATGGGTGAATCATTGAACTTTTTGAACTGAATTTGAGCAATTGGACTACT